AAACAAAGACATTCATCATCTCATACATGGAAGTCTTCGTAAAAGAGGTATCCCTAGGGGGACGAATATTCAGGATTAACCTTATTTCAATGAAAACAATATAATTAATGCATGATAGAATTATTTCAATGATTCCCTTTATTTCTTCTTCTTCAATTTGATCTTAGTATGCCCTTGATCTGTAATACTCCATCTTGACTTGCTTGAGGAAAGGTCCTCGTCATGCCTTTAGGATTTATTGAGGATGGGGAATTGATGTCACTGTTTAGTCTTGGTGTTATATCGGGTAAGGAGGAGCCCACAAATGGTTCTTTTGGCTTTGGATGGAAGGTCTAATCTTTCCTCTTGTCAAAAGCATATAATTAATGAAGTAATAAAAGAACCTTTAATTCATTTGATATTCAAAGAATGTAAGTTCATTTAAAAGTCCTTTCAAAAAGCTGAGAAAAGGGATAAAAACATGTTCAAACAAAATGTAGCAAATGACAAAAAGTTTCATGATGATGAACGAAATGATTTCTGCGTAATTAATATGTCTCATTACTCATCTATTGTAGCAACACCTGATCCAGACGAATGCTACATTATGTGCTCTGATGCCCCACTCGAGCTTGTCATCCACTGTTTCACCAATTCTTGTGTCAACGACCCATTGAATGCCCCAATGCCCCCAAGTGAAAATCACAGACACTATCTGTATCATAGCTGTGAGCAGAAGGGTTTGGTTTCACTTTCATTGGCCTCGGTGTGAGGTATTGACCTTTAACCAAGTAGGGATATAGATCTGAGATAGAAGTTTGGAACACTTTCAAAGTATTTTTCGATATTGGGACTTTCTTTGGACAACTCGAGTAACTTGCTGCCCCTTTTCTTTTGCGGTTGTAGGAGCTCTGGATGTGACATTCATTCACCTCACCAGCCTTTTCCTTTTGGTCGGTTGGACATTTGGAAGTGACCTTCAAGTTTCCTTTGTTCATTGTATCTTCAATTGACTCTCCAGCGAACATAAGATCCTTAAAGCATTTCGTCGAGTTTCCCAGTATTAACTCAAAGAAAGGAGCTGGGAAAGAATCGTGAAACATACACGATATTTCTTCTTCTAACAAAGGAGGCTAAACTTGTGCTGCCACTCCTCTCCATGGCATATTCTTTAAAGCTCTCAGTAGCTTTTATCATTATCATTTGAAAGTTATGACGTTTTGGGACTAAGCCTTTAATATATCGATATTGCCCCAGAAAAGCATCAACTAAGTTTACCCATGTCTTGATCTATTCTCTGTTCAACCAGTTATACCATACCACAACTGGCCCAGCTAGACTATCATGGAAGTAATGAATCAACAGATTATCATCATTTAGGTACCATTCTATCTTTCTACAAAACATTTTCAGATGAATTAAGGGGTAACTGGTGCCATCATATTTCTCAAAATTAGGCACCCTAAATTCATGTGGGATAACCAAATCAGGAACCAAGTTGAGTTCCCTAGCTTCAAACTCCTTGTGAGAGGCATTAACGACCTTTATATCTTTAATGGCTTCATTCAACCACCTGAACTCGTCTTCAAATTGCTCAAAATTGACGAGGCTCATCCCTAGGTCTGAGTTGAATGCCTCAGGGTATCGCTCTTGATGTACCAGTCTGATGAGATTGATTTCCTTTATAATCCATTTTCTCTTTACCAACAGCCTGCGGTGCTAACACCTGGATCATTTGATTCGATGTGCCTTGCAGAGAACTTGATGCTTGATTCCTCGTATCTTGTTATAACCCGACCAACTGTTCTTGCAACTGACCTTGTGATTTCTCATTAGATTGCTCTATTGTTTCCATTTGTTTGTTCATAACGATGAGGAAGTAGTATGAATGAATGATCTTGTTATTACTGTCACATAATCTTCCATAAGTTATTTCCATGTTTTCATGATTAATGCATACAAAATACTTAAATAAATACATGCAATGCAAAGGCAAATGCTAAATGCAAATGCAAAAGGTGTTAATTCCAAAAGTGACCACCATAGAACAACCTTCATTTAGACAACAAGATTTCATTACACCATGTAGTCAAAATACTTCAACTCTTCATTTTCTTGAGTCGTACTCTTCATGGAATCTAGCATTGCACCTCCAAAATTGTCGGCATACTTTATCGTCTTTGATGATGTCGGACGTCCTTAAATTGAATCTTGGGATCTCCATCTTTACTTTCAATGCAAAGTGCTCTTCATGTCTTTGTGAAGGGTCTTCGCGTCCTTGATATTACTGTATCTATCTCTTGAGGGAACATCTTCGGCCTTTGCTCCTTTGAAAGAAGTCTTCGATCAACTTTAAAACTTCATTCATCGGATGTCCTTCTTCATGAATCATTTGAATGCCTCTGGATCTCCCGATTTTGAGTACATGGTTAAGAATTTCTTGCCTCATTATGACCAGCCTTCTTATTAGTCAATCACTTACGAATTAACACCTTTGAATGACATGAAGATGTATATGCAATAAATCCAAAATAAAATAGACATAAAATAAAAAATGGGTTAGTACTCATAAGATAAACAACAAAATAGTAAGTACCGTAAACATCAAATAAAACCTACCCTCATATGCTGACTACCCAATCATGCTTAGTAGATTCTACCCAACATGATGTCTACCCCCTGCTTTGTTATTCACGAAAAATCCTAACCGCATGATATCTAATTCGCATGCTTGTTCAAGAAAATAAACCTAACCGCATGATTTCTAGTTCGTATACATTTATTCAAACAACAACAATAAATGACTCGAAAACTTTTCCTTATGTACCCTCCTCACGAGACTCTTAAGGTTCGGGTTAGGCTCGATCCAAGTTCAGGCTCTATGTTCACTATATGTTGGGCTAGGTTCTAAAGCAATAGGTTCTCGAATTGTCCTTGCCGGTGCCCCCTTGGGTTGTCGAACCCTCAATCTTTGTCAATTATAGGCTTTTGGGACTGAGTTCAATTTCGAGGGAACACACTTCCTTATGTCCATGCGGAGGTGAATACCATCACGAGGACCATAAGGCGTGAACTCCAGAAGTGATCCACTATCCCATGCAGAGGTGAAAATTACACGAGGGAGTAGTCTCACTCCTACTTAAATAGGACAGAGCGGGGTTTTAGCTCATGTTATGCAAATGCAACTGTGCGGTGTGTGAGGAAAAGCAAAAATAAAACAACACATAATCATAAAACTCTAAAAAAATCAACCCTCTTTCAACACATGATTAATCTGAAATCATTAGCAAACAGACCAGTACAACTATTTATTTGTTAATCAAATTACAAACAAACGATATTAAAACCAAACAGGGGATCAAAAACCAAATTAGAATGAATTTATAACTTTCAATTGCAAAGACAATCAATTAATTGACTATAGGTCTGACTCTCTAAAAAAAGTCCTCAGCAGAGTCGCCAAGCTGTTGAAATGATTTTTTTAAGAAGGTGGGAGCGAGATTTTGAAAACCGCACCATTTTTAATTATTCTCTTTATGGTTAATTTTTTTAATTAAAAACGATATGATTTTAGAAAACCTCTCGTTTAAAAAAAATGAAAATTCCTTTACGATAAAAAAAAGCGGTTCGAGGAGTCGCCACCAATATTTGATTAGGGTGTGATTGGATACCCAAAAACATCTTGTCATTTTAAATAAAAAACAATTTTAATTAAAACGACGATTTTTAGTCTGCGTTACCAGAAAATATGTTTGGGAGTCGGTTACGCGTGAAGAAGGATTAACACCCCCACAACGCCCTAAATCGGTACCTAGTCGATTAATTAACGTCTTTGCAATGAAATTTAAAAATTCGAGTTTAATTTGGTTTATGATCCCCGACAAAACAACAACACATGAATTTTACATTATTCAAAAGCACCAAAATAGATTAAATTAAAATTACCCAACATTTAGAAAGATAAAGAATATTCGATTATTTACAAATATCGAGACCAAATCTTAAATGAGTTATAACAACCTTTTCTCGATAGATATAATAGCCGAACATCTCTTTTTCTTCCATTCCCAAATTTTAAAGTGACAAGTCAATTTCTTAGGTGTCATTGATGGGATACACTTTTATTTTAAAATCGTTAGAAACGGACCTCTAATCAGTTAAGACAGCCCACTTAAAACAATTTTAAACTAAAAGGGTATTACCCTTAGTCAAATTATGTAATAATATCAAGTCATGCACATGAGGATATCATACATATTATGCAAAATAATGTCGTGCAAAAATTAAGTAAATAAAAGGATATATTACATCTAAATCTATGCTTATGAACCACGTAATTAAAAAACATATGCGCACATATCATCATCATTCAAACTTAGGATAAGCATACATCCAAAGCGAACCATAACTAACCATACATGCATACACATTTTTTAAAGAAATAGACATGGACTAAAACATAAAGAAAACTAACTTAAGGTTAAAACATAAATGAAGTAAATAGCATGCTATTATAAAAATGATGAAAAACAAATAGACCTAAAAATACATGACCAAATTAAGAGGGAAATGCCAATCAGAGACTAAAACAACAATCTGCACAAACATGGAGTCATGGGCATAGAGGTAAGCATATCCTTGACACCACAAACATAATTTATCCATTGACAAACAGAGGGTTAAAATGAAACTAGGTAAAATTACCTTCCAAATGCAGAAAACAGATGAACATGCGCAACTAATCAATCCAAGGTAGAAATTATAAGATAAACAAAGTTCCAGGCTAAATGTCTAAAACCACATAAACTAAAGAAATTAACACCTGGGTTTATAATGCAATGCAATGCGCGTAAAACATGGAACCAAAATTAAAACCAAGAAAATCTCCATTTGCGGACTAAGGTGAATTAAAACGAAAAAACGAAGGACTTACACAGCAGATAAACCACGTCCCAATACGTTGTCGTTTTGGCCTTGTTATAAGCGTAATATCTAGGGCAAAAAATAAACCCAAACCTCATTTGCTTTCCTCCTTAATTTCCCCACTCAGCCGCAGTCTCTCTTCCCATCCAACCCTCATCTCTCGGCCGCTCACTACAAAGCACAAAAGAACCAACGCCGGCCACCGTGGCCTCCGCCCACCCAGGGTTCCGCTGAGGAACCAAACTAAATGTAAGATCTATCCCACAAATCAAACCCCAACCTAAGGAACCCTCACCACTGTGTGTCGGTGTTGTACTCACGCTGGCCACCACCAGAGGTGACCGGTTGTCTCACAACCACCAAGACCGAACCTAGCTCCCATTCTCTCGTCTAAAAGGACTCCGATGAGGGTACACACTTCGGCAGAGAGGTAAACCGCTCTCTCTTTCTCTTTGTTCTCCCTTTTGATTATTTGATTTTATTGATGACGATTGATTTTTTGGATTGTTGAGAGATTAGTGTTTGGATTTATGATTGCAAGAGAAAATAAAAAAAACATTCTTTTTCATTCTAATGGCGAAAACGGGGGAAGACCGAAACCCCTTTTACATATTTTTTTCTTTTTCAAATCAAAGGAGCCCCAAGAATCCCCCTTGTTACAATTATTTCCCCTTCCCCGTTGTTGATGAAAAATCCTCCCCTGTTGTTTGATGGATTTTTCTCTTTGCCCCCTCCTCCTGTTTCTGTGGTTGCCCTCTCTTTTAATGGTTACCCTCTCTTTTAATGGTTGCTCTCCTGTTGCAAAACCGAGAGTCCCTTCATCCAAGATAATGGCCTCCTTATTTATTCTTTTTTGTTTTTTTTTCGATTTCCATTGATTCTTTTGATGGTGCCAGGGCGTGGAAGACGTGCTGGCCGGTTGGTGTTGTCGGGCGTGATGCTTGGGTGGTCGACAGGCATGGGAAACAGCTTGCTGTTGGGTATTGTTTACAACCTCGAGGACTTCACGTGGGGTGCTCGGGCGTGCTGGCCGACAGGTATGGGCTTCCATGGGAACCGAGTATGTGGGAGGCAGCAGTGGGGAGACGAGCCTTCACGTGGGTAGCACTCGGTTGTGGTGCTGACTTGAACCGGGTCACACATGGGCCTTGTAACCGGGTTTCAGCTGGATTGGGTTGTAATTAATTTGGGTTTGGTTTGTGTAAGATGTAAAGAGTGTATGATGTAAAGGGACCCTAGACACTTAATTTTGGATTCTAGATTATATTTAGGCTTCGATATATATCTGGAATTCCAAAATGAAACAATATGGTTACAATTATAGTTGCACATTTGTCGGATTTCAATCCGATCCGGATCGGTTTTTATCCGATCCGGTTTTTTCCCATAGAAAAAAACCGGTTTATAAAATAACCGGTTCGGTTTCTAACCGGTTTGGAGGGTCGAATATCCTAACCAGTGTAACCGGTTTCGGTTTTAAAAAAATCGGTTTTTTTAAAAAAACGGTTATAAAAAAATCGATTTTAATATTCCAGATTGCTCATAGGGAACCGATTCCCCCCAAGGGGGTACCGATTCCTCACTGAATGGTTTGGCTCCGAGATTTCCAGAATGCTCGGAGGGAATCGATTCTCCCATAGGGGTACTGATTCCCCCCTATTCAACGGTCGAAATATTTGAATTTTATACTTAGGGAATTGATTCCCTATGAGAGGGTATCGATTCCCCCACGCTCCAAGTATTTTTATTAAATGTTTTCACACTTAAACGACTATATTATCTTCATTAATTATCACTAAAGTTCAGAAGTGATTCAAGGTGTATTTAAGCAAGCTTAGAAGCCATTGATCAAAGACAAGAAACATCAAACAACTAGAATCAAGAGAGAATCAAAGAGAAAGCATCAAACTTCAAGTTCGATAAATTCAAATATTTAATTGAAATACTTAATTAACTCAACATAATTGAAATACTTAAATACTTCCAAGTTTGATAAATTCAAATACTTAAAAACTTCCAAGTTCGATAAATTCAAATACTTAAAAACTTCAAGTTCGATAATTGAAACAAAGTTTACGATAATTGAAATAAAGTTATAAAATAAACTACATTGTCATCTCTTCTTCATCATCTTCGCCTTCTTCGTTTGGAGGAGATATTCCAAGTTCGACTTCTTCAATGTGTAAGTTTGTTTCCAAATCGGCATCAATTGCATCTTCTAGGGTGGTGATATGTTGCTTACGAGCCGCTCCATCCAAATAATCCTTTAAACAAATGCATACTTCCACCGACTCGGGATTTAGTCTTGATCTCCGTTGCGATATAACCCTGCCACTAACAGAAAAAGCGGATTCCGAAGCTACCGTAGAAGCTTGGACGGTTAGTAAATCACGGGCCATGGCGGCTAGAATCAGAAATTGTGCTTCCTTTTCTTTCCACCAAGCCAAAATATCCAAACTTTCAAACTCTTCAAATGTCATTTTTGATAGAAAATCGCATGACATGTAATTTCCCAACTCGCTACTTGGGGTGGTAGTACGTGATCGTTTGGATTGAGAATTTACAAGAGTGTTAAAAAGATTCAAATTTATGTTACTTGGACGTCTACTAGATGATTCCGCATTCATTCTCATTTGATCGTGTATTACACTACTTGATCCGTATTTTGTTAAATAAATTGCAAACATGTCTCGAAAACATTTGTTAAAATAATTTATTTGGTTTTGGACAAAGTTGGGTTCATCATCGGTTAGATTAAAAGCAAACGCAATTTGTTCAATTAGTGTTTCAACCCCACCAACATTTAACGTTGGGTTTAAAGCGGCGGCACAAGTAAAAATGGGGGGAATCTCCTTAAAATATTTTAAAAGTTTTTCCTTCATTGCAAAGCCAATTTCTTGAAAAACTTCGGTTTCAAATTCAAAGTCATTTAGTCGGGTAGCCAACAAAAATATTTGATTAAGAACCAACGGGCTAGTAGGGTAATAAACACCGGATAAAAAAGTTGTTGCATTTTTTAAAACCTCAAGCAAATCGGTTATTTTGGCTATAGTTTCCCAACTCGAATCCGGATAAATGTTTGGGACATGACCCCTCTCGAAAAGCCGATCGTGAAATGTTTGCAATGTTTCCCTTTGCCTTAAGGCAGTATGCATCATCATCCAAGTTGAGTTCCAACGAGTTGGACAATCCAAATTAGGACCCAAAGCTTTTTTATTAACGGACTTACAAAATCGTTTATAATCATTTAGTCTTTTGTTGTTGTTACAAAGAACCGATTTTATCATTGTTTTGAATTCTAATCTAATCGGCTCAATAACCTCCAAACCGGCTTGCACGGATAAATTAATTATGTGTGCAACGCAACGGGTATGAAAAAATGCACCGTCTAAAATCGGTGAAAGTAATATTTTCAATCTTGGAACCGCATTTGTATTATTCGATGCATTATCAAAGGATATAGAAAAAACTTTATTTTCTAATTTATAAAGACAAATTACCCTTTTTTAAAAGTGTAAATAAATTAGCACCGGTATGCGGCTCACCGAATAATTCAAACGCGATTGTTCTTTTCATCATTTGCCAATTATCTTGATCTAACCAATGTGACGTAACGGCTAAAAAAGAATTTCCGGTATTATGAGGGGAACTCCAAACGTCACATGTAAGCGACACACCATAACGGTGTTCTTGGAATCCTAAAATCATTTTTTCCCTCGCCGTACGCCACATTTTTATAGCATTTCTTCTAAGGGTAGTACGACTTACTTGAGTATAACGTGGTTGCATTAGTTGTTGAATTGTTATCGTGAAATCTTCATCATCAAAGTGGTCGAATGTCAATGCTTTTGTAATCACGAACTTTGTAAACGCTTCTCGTAATTTTTCGTTGTCGTAAACAAAAACACCACCTTGCGGTGTAAGATTCGATTGACTAGGATCCGATCTTGAGCGAAGTGCCTTGCATGATTTTGTCAAATGGTTCTTCAACGTTGTGTTTCCTTCCGATGCAAGAAACTTTAGACAAAGTTTACAACGCGCCCTCCTCGAGCCATTTGACATCTCACATAAATCGTAGTGATCCCAAATGTCTTTGTTTCGAGTGTGTTCGATCACTCTCACGACTTCAAGGTTTCCCCCGACGGAAGATTCAGCCGTGTTACTCATGATGAACAAAAAATTACAAAAATAAGATTTTGAGAGATGTTTAAGTGTTGTGTAATAAGATTTGAGGAATTTGTAATCAACCAAATACATCCCCAACCTATTTATACATGTTTAGGGTGGTAAAATGGTAATTTTTTAAAGAAAAAAACGGTCAAAAACGGTCACAAAACCCCCCCAACGGCTAGTTTTTTAAACCCAGACCGGTTTTTTTTTCCGGATAAAAACCGGTTTTTTAACCGGTTTTTTTCAAACCGGTTTTTTTATCCGGTAAAAAACCGGTCTAGGTTTTTTTCTCCAAACCGGTTAAAATAACCGGTTTAAAAAAATCCGATCCGGTTAAAAAAAAACCGGTTTTTCCCAAAACCGGTTTCGGATATTTTTTTCGCAAAATCGGATATTCGGATTTTTTGTGCACCCCTAGTTACAATCCAATTAAGCACCTAAAATTTCCAAAAGCAAGCTTACACGATTCATTACTTGAATTTAAATGGTCCGGACAAAATTAGGGTATTATAAAAATAAAATATTTGCCTCTTAATAATGCTGCCTCATTGGTAGCTGGTTTTTTAAGTACAAAGTGAGTAGGGTTTGCCATATATTACCGTTATTAAGCTAACTTTAAAACAATAATGTGCATGGATGGATCGAGAACGGGTGAGGGTAATTTTTTTTCTATTTTTTATTTTTATATGTTTTAGATATTTTCTTTATTTTTTATTGAAAAACATATATTTTGGACATTTTCTTTATTGAAAATTTATTTTCCTCAAAATTTTATAAATTTACTTTCTTTTAAAATTTTATAATGGATCCAATTAAAATAAAATCTCGTGTGACAATATTTTAGACGAATTCAATTAATTTCCTTAATAGGTGGTTACTGTGAGTTCAAGTGAAAGCTGAATACTCCAAAGAGCAAAATTTTGATGGAGAAATGTAAAGAAGAAAGTAGGTAGTCCACACCACAGATTGAGAAAGAAACAAAGTATGGGTTTGCAAGGGGGAAATAATATTTTGATGTTCACAAATCAACTTTAAACGTTAAAAGCAAGATGTTAATAACTCTATCCCAAACAAGAGATGGGGTTGTTTTGTTTTATTACTTTTCCAAGCATACAGTTCCCTTGTAGCGGCCCTTCCACGTTTTTTTTTTGTTTATTCTTCACCTTCCATGCTAAAATCAACTTTTTGGGTTCTAGGTTTAGAGGATTTCAGATTTTGAAGATTAAAATTTTATTATATGAAAAAATTGTTAGATGGATATGACTCAACACATCATTCGTGATCACAATTAATAATATTTATCGATTTCATTTTTTTCTAAGGTAAATCTTTACTTTTTTTCTTATATATTACTCTTTCCTACGTATAAATAAAAACAATAAGTAGTTATTAAAAATTATTTTAAAATTGATAGATCAAATTCTTTAATACCCCATATAACATGATGAGCCAAATTTATGAAGAAATTTATCTTAAATGTGAGATTTGATTCTTCTTATGAATCACTTGCTCCTATTTTACAATAATTTGATTTTGTTAATTAACTATTTAATTATGTAAACATTGTCAATCAAATGACTTAACGTTAATAAGTAATGATGACTAACAGTTTTGTCCGATGCTTAGTCATTATTACTAATTTTATTATTATTATTGGTTATTATTATTAACATCATTACTAATTATAAATTATTATAATATTATTAATATTTTTTTTTATTTTCAGATTACAGTCAACCCACAAACCGGGCTCAAAATAACTAAATCTATCCCTAAACCTAAAATAAAACATAACCCTAACTTCTGTCACCGCCGCCTGACGCCATCACCACTGTCTGACGTCGCCGTCGCCACTGTCAGAGCTGCCCTCGACCTAAGAAAAGCCACAAAACACATAGTAATGATCACTCTCAACCACCAATTCAAATCTATAAAAATACAACATTTAGCAACCAAAAGATGAGGAGATTTGAACAAACAAAAGAACTGAGAGAAAAAAGAAGAAATCAGAAGAGATTTCAAAGAAAAAAAGAACAAAACCATAGAAAAAAAGGAGAAGAAACGATAAAGCACAAACACCATTCGGGAAAAAAA